CACACACACACACACACACACACACACACACACACACAGAGCGATCAGTAAGGGAGTTCTGCATTTAAGATGAAGTTGATTTTCTCACCATCACAACAGATTAAATTAAAGTTTCTTCCTCTTCAACATGAAACTGTTAAATACACACAAAAAACAAACTTTTCAGCATTTACTTATTGGCATGCATGCATTTTTTCTATCTTCATTTATTGCTTTTGTAGACTACCATTATATTTGAACTAGATTAAAGAGATAGTTCACCCAAAAATGAAAATTTGTAAAATGTTGTTTTTTGTAATTTATTTAAATATGATTATTGAAATTAAATATAGTGATTATAACATCTAATAAATCAGTTAGCTGTTGTACCTCTCATCCTGCAGCATTTGAAAATCAGCACGACAGTCACTATCAGATATGGACAAACTGCCAGTACAGAACTGAGTGTGTGGAGGACAGAGATCTGAGATTCTGAATGAGACACTGAAAAAGAGAAGCACAAGCACTTTATCTAGCACTATATCTGAACAAGAGCATAAGAAGAAATAAATAAGCTCACATTTACAGCAGCATTCATTTGAGACTCCTCTAACAGAGATCCAGCTCTTGGGTGACTCTCCTCTCTCTGGGTGTTTGCAGTAGTAGAAACCCTCATGTGACTTTGAGACATTAGAGATGATCATCTCTGTAGTTTGATTCTGAATGAGTGATCCATCTTTGTAGAAATCAGCTCTGAGGTTTGGTGGGGTTGAATGTTGATTTAAACAGCGTAGAGTCAGAGTATCTCCTTCAGTCACAGGATGAACAGGACTCTCCAGAATCACAAAAACTACAGAAACAGAGAAGTATATATATATATATGGAGGCATGGTGACAAAAAAATTATCTTAATGATCCGAACACAGAATATGAGCTTTGTCTAATTAGGGGGTTCTTCAGCAGGAGGTCTGTGAGCCCTAGGTACATCAATAATGATGAATATTATTAATGGATTTGCAGTGTAAGCATTGTCACACTTATGCCGGGCTCTCCCTACTCCAACTCACAAGATTTCTGATCAATCTCACCTCATAATCAATACTGGTGAAATCAAGGACCGCAAAAAATGCTCACGACAAACCCTTAGTCAGCATTTGGCCTTAAACAAGGACACTAAGGGCGTACTCACACTAGGCACAGTTGTCTTGTACCAAGCCCGAGTGTGATTGTCACACTATGTGTGTACCACGCCTGAGCCCAATCAAACCGTTCCCAAGCCCACCTCCTCAAGTGGGCCAGGGCACGGTCCAGAGTGATAACACTAGTCCAATGAACAAGACTTAGGGGGTCAAACATGCTCAGGGTTCAGGATCACCTAGTGCGAGTACACCCTAAGACTCATAGCCTTATATACTGATACTTACCTGTTTATCCCAGTGATTTAACTGCATTCTCCAGCCACATCCCGAAAAAAAGACCAGACCAACTACATGAACCCAGCAGGAATGGATTTCGATGCTCACAAGGATCCTAGTCCAACAACTCTGTACAAGCTCTCACCAGCCCCACCACTTCACCATCACCACTACAACCTTTTGTTATGTCAGTCCTGGTCTTTCTGGATATGAACAAATGGAATGAGCTGGCCCTCCTAACCACATATTGCCAAGGACATAAACAGTCAGGCTGCATCTCTCTTCGTATGACAATGCTATGGGGTTGGAGAGATTCATCCAATTGTTCAACTGAGTGTCACATCGTATGAGATCATGCCTCCACAGCCATTCTACCCTGCAATCAATGTTGATATCCTGCCCATTATCAAATCACCCTCCAGAACCCATGGATGAGTCTGTGTATGTGGATGTTCAATTAACCCCTGCTGAGTGCTTGCACTGCTTAACTAATCAATTAAACTTGTACTGTGGAGCTGGCGAACATATTATGGCAGAGTGCCCTGTTAGACCTCCATGCCCCACGGTGAGTCCCATCAATTATTCCCTGGTTATCCACTCACCTCTTCATACTAAAGTAAGTGTTACTTTTGGCTATATCTGCTTAAATATATCGGCCCTGTTTGAGTCCAGTTGTGCCGGCAACTTTATCTCTCTATCCTCTACAGTACATCTACAGTACAGTGCAGTAATCCTAATTCAATACACAACTAGAAAACCCCTTGAAAAGGTTTCAGTCATCACCACATGATCCCAGTCGAACTACAAATTGGATTTTTACCTCAAATTAATTATTCGGGGTGTCCCTAGCTGTCACAATACTCTCCCATCCTCTCCTGGTTGACTGGTGAGATACTGGAGTAGGGGAGGAACTGTTTCTAGGACTGCATCACCCCGCTTCCAAGACCTTCTCAAACCACTACTCAACACCAGTCTCTCAAGCCACTCATCAAGATCAGTGATTGCTCCATTGAAAGCCAGCCATCTATCATTGCTACTTGGATGTCTTCTGTACACAACGGGCCTTACAACTTCCCCCTCATAGACCATGGGACTATGCCATTGAGCTGTAACCAGGTAAGCCTCTGCAAAGAGGGAGGATCTACCCCTTTTCACTTTCCAAACAAAAGGTCATGGAGGAGTATTTTGAAGAGGCTCTAACGCCAAGGATACATCCCTGCCACATTCCACTTTGAGCTTCTTCACTTCCAAAACTGAGAAAGGCTTGAGGATCTACATTGATTACAGTGACCTTAACCAAGTCACCATCAAGTTCTGGTATCCACTCCTTATACCTGTGGTCCTTGAATTATTTAGATGAGCAACGGAATTTATAAAGCTCGGTGCAGCACCTACAACTTGTCGGAATATGAAGGGAGGACGAGTTGAAGACCGCCTTTGTGACCCCTACAGGCCACTACGAATATTGGGTTGTGTTGTATGGTCTGGTCTGGCTCTCCATCAGAGACATCAGATTCTGGCTGCTTAGCCGAAAGTTCTTTGGGAAAAGTCCCCGGTTCGTAGGCTCCTTGACCATCTTGTAGTCACATTTCAACTACAACTCCTCATTTCACTAGAGGATTCATCCCACCTTCCATGTATACTTTTTTAATATCTCATCAACCTTCTCATTTCCTCCTTCCTCAGAGCCCAGTACGGCTGATGGTCCTTTTCCACTACTCCTGGATGATGGGCTGGTGTACGCAATCCAAGTGATTCTCGATTGCCAAAGTTGGAGTGGCTGAGTACTTGGTCAACTGGGAGGAGTATGGCCCAAACAAAGAGTGATAAACAGGGTTGGCCATGACATCAGGGTTTCCGGCTCATAACTGACCCTCAGTCAATATCTGGGCTTAAACAAGGACACTAAGACTCTCTTTGCCTTACATATTGATACTTGCCCATTTCTTCAGTGATTACATGAATTCACAGGCGACAAGGGAGATTACATAGGAGTGGGAACCAGTAAAGACTTTGCACTTTTTCCAAGCTGAGTGTTTTGACTACTCTCTCTGTCAATAAATACCTGTGATTGGGTTCACTCTCCATCCTGTGTCTGTATATTTCCTGACACAGAGCATGTGAACACATTGCTATACAAAAGTTATTTAAAGCCAGCCTTAAAAAGCAACTCCGTTTGTACAGTAGCATTTGGTCCTTGGGCTCAAAATGGTTGAAGACCACTGATCTATTGTTTCCTGAACTTATTTAATCAACTTGCTTTATGTATTGATTTACAAACGGCCAGCGAAGTGAATAAATACATAAATACAGACTTACAGTGTACAGTGATATTAACAGGATGATATTTTTCTCCAGATTCAGACTGACACCAGTACACGCCAGTGTCTGAAGCAATAATCGAGCTGATTGTACATGTAGATCCTGTTTGTGATCCCCACAGTGATGACGAACAATCTTGCAGCCCCCAACTCTCTGTGTATCTTCTCACTCTCCATCTATCAGAGTTACTCTGGTCCTCACAGCTCAGAGAGAGAGAGACAGATGTGAAGTGTTGAGTTCTGCTGGGACTGATGATCAGAGAGACTGGAGGAGAACAACCTGAGTAGGAAGTTACAGCTACAACATTTCAGATTTGATCATGGAAATTTTCTTTACTTAATTTGAACCAATCTTTTAAATTCTGTTTGAACTCACCAGTGACCCATAGTGGTTGTGTTTTGCTGATGGTTGTATAATAAGATGGTTTTCTTCTCTCTGCCCTGCATACATAAACTCCTGAGTGATTTAGAGCAGCAGAACTGACAGTGTAGATCCCTCCAGCTCCTCTACTGCTGTCTGAGAGCAGCTTATAATGATGACTGCAGTCTGCATGAAGTGAGAATGTGTAGCTATCACCACATATGTCTATCCCTGATTTGACCTTTAAAGGTAATATAATCTTAAATTACTGTTCCCAATCCTGTTCTAATATGCAGAAATGACTATATGCAAGCCATTCATAAGTTGATTTCTCTGAAAAGTGTAAACACTGATTCTATGGCACTATAAAAACATTGCTCCATTTGTGCAGACCAGTCAGACACAGTATTGTTGGCTAACTGTGTACGTTTAGGATGGGACTACTCGTTTGGGAAACCTGTTTGAAAATGTTCCCTTTTTTTGTGGCACTGAAATTACACTTCATGAACCCAACGTAATACTGTTGATATATTATCATATTCATATTAAATAATATTTTTGACATCAAGTATTAATATTAACAAATTAAGCACATTATATCTTACCAGATGAAATCGTTACAGCGTACCAGCTAAATGTCCAGTCTTTAGAGGAGCTGTTAACCTCACAGATCAGAGTCACTGGATCTCCTTCAGTCACCCACTTCTGTGGAGAAACACTTAAAACTTCTCTGAGATCTGGAATTGAGGAGTCACTCATTAATAACATGTTAAACTTGTTTGTGTATATGAAGAGATGATCAAACGCACCTGATACTGTCAGTCTAAGTGCATCACTGTTTTGTGAGCTGCGTGATCCTCCTCTCTCTGCTCCATAACACAAGTATTTACCTGCATCAGACTCCGTAACAGACCTGAATGTGTGTTCCTGTAGTTCACTAAAAGCATTAGCTGAACCGTCTTTATACCAGCTGTACTGCCAGCTAGTGACTCCTTCACCATCAATGTCACATCTGAGAGTGACTGTCTCTCCTCTGAATACATGTTGATCAGGTTTAATGGTCACTTTGGCTTTTGGTCTTTCTGTACAATGACAAAAATTCAAAATGAACAAAATGTTTTGTTTTAATGTATGAACAGTTAATTGATTTAATAAAACAGATTATTCCTGTCCTTGAAGCCAATTCATTAGCATAAACATGACTGACAACTTCAAAGAACAGTTCTGTGTATACCTGCACAACACCTAGCAACAAAGACAATCAATTTAGGCTAGTTAAAACAGTTCCATGTATTTTGTATTTCAGCAATATTAACTCTTTATTTATTATTTAAGTATGAGCAACACTTGCTGGCATTAGGGCTGTCATTCACCTTTATGATACTTTGAAAAAAAAAAAGTTTCACGAGTCAAAATTAGTCTCAAATCTGGATGAAAAAAATAAATAATAATCACACAGTGTATGCCCTGGAACATTTTGTTGCCATTTACTCTTAAGGACTATATTTCTAGCAGATGGATGACAATGATTTTACTTAAAAAAACAAAAAAGAAAGAAAAAAAAGAAATATTAACACATTTATTAGCTTTAATAATTTTATTGTGTGGTAACCATTTTATAAATGCAATGAGGCCTCTCGTACCTTATTTCTTCCATAAAACATGGTTCATTGTTGAACTCAGAGAAAAGGAAAAATACTTGCCATATATTGTCACTGTTGCTGGTTCACTGTCATGTGTGTAATATCCTTCTCTTCGTGCTCTGCACCTGTACTCGCCTCCATCAGAGACTTTCACAGAATCGATTGTTTTAGTTGGAGCTTCAGTCAATTCAGTTTTTGAGTCCATAGCTTTTGTCCAGAGAAACTTCCATTTAACCCAAGTTTGATCCACCTCACATCTTAGAGTAACTGTGTCTCCAGTGAACACTGAACTCTGTGGCTCAACAGTCACAGTTGGTTTGGGAAAATCTGTCAGTACAGAACCATTAGCAGCATCAGTTGTTAAAGTTTTTCAGAAGGTCTCATCCTCTCACTATCATTAGTGCATCTTGATTGCATAGACAATGTAAGAAATACAGTTGCTAGCAGCAATTACGTGGACAAGTTAGGTCAACATTCACTCAGAGAATAATGCAAGGAGTTAAAGGACAACAAAAGGTGCAAAAGCCACCCTTGGCAGGGTTCAAACCTACAACCTTTAGGTTAACAACCCTGAGCTCATCCTACTGTGCCTGTGAGGCAACGGATCTTTGCAGGCCCAATTTCAGGTGAAAAATTGGTTCACACTTAAAAAATAAAAAAATAAAGGGAATACTCGCAGAGCTGTTATAGTGTAATGTTGGTTTATTTACAGTGCTCTAGAGGTGAAACAGTCCAAGTAGAAAAAAATATATACAAAGTAAAGAAAACACTGTACAAAGAAACAAACAGAGAGAGATAAATATATCACGCAAAATAGCATGCACACTTCAGTATTGGTAAGAATTGGTCACGGCACCACAGTTGCACACTCACTCGGCAGGTAAACTGACCAAACACACTGTTTTGGAGCCAGGATTGCCAGTGGCTTGTAGCATGAAGCCGGTTTCAGTTTTTACCCAGGTAAGTTCATGTTTAGTTTGAGAAAACTGAGTTTTCGGGCTCAAGAAGGTGGGTTGGTTTTTAGCGGGTTTCGTCGCCATGATAACTTGCTACACGGCTACCCTGCTCCGGAGCAGGATTTATTCTGCGTTAGAGATCACAAACCCAAACTGGACCAATCAGCTGTGAGCAAAGTGACATATCTGATGCAATGAAGCCGTCTCAGGGTACTTATGTAACCATGGTTCCCTGAGTAGGGAACGAGACACTGCGTCCTGTAGGGGTCGCTATGGGGAACGCCTCGTCGTGACCCGTGTCTGAAGCATACATTGAATACCATGACGTCACTACCGGTGCGACTATAGTATAAATAGGCGCCAGGAGAACATGTCATTCACTTCTTCGTCTGAAGCTTGCGTTCGAAGCATGGCAGGAAGTCTAGAGGAAGCAGCGTCTCGTTCCCTACTCAGGAAACCATGGTTACATAAGTAACCTGAGACTATACCCACGCCACCATGCTGAGGGGAGTGTGGCCCAGAACCATGGCGAGCACTAAGTACCAACTTTACCATTTTCATGGTGAGTTGCCCCTGGAATGTCAGACGGCTGTCTGTGACTTTATCCCCTACGGCCAAAGGCCTAGGCTACATACCCAACTTACCTGTTTGGGCCAGACTCCTGGGCCTGGGGTAGAGCTCAAGGCTTGGAATCCTTTAAGGGGATACGACCAAGAACCTAGTATCACACGAAGTCTTGGCCGGTCACACAGGAGCTACCGCTTGCTCTTGCATAAGCTCTGAAAGGAACTGTCTCAACAGACCTCTAGTGGCCACACCCTGTTAAAGTAGGTGGAGTGGTGCACAAGGTGAATGGGGTTTAAACCAGCTCAAGAAAGGGCACGAAGCAAGCGCGCGAAGCCCTCACCATACAGGATTTTAGAAAAGAACGCAAAGAACTAGCGTGCGAACTTACCACAATGTGGATTTTAGAAAGTGCACAAAGCCTTCACGTGCACACTTACCATAACATGGATTTTAGGATACCGTTCTAAGGGGCTCTCGTGGCACTCTGAAAGAGCAGCTCATAGATGGAATGGTGCATACCAAACCCAATATGTTTGAGAGTCACCAACTCGATCTAAGATATAAAGCTGGAATGGCTAGCAGTAAATCTCTAACTGAGGGGGCAAACACCCAACTCTCACACGAGAGGGGAGCTCGACCTACCGCATGTTTCATGCTGGAACAGCTAGTAATAATTTACTTAGCTGAGGAAGCAACACACCCAGCTCTAAAACGAGAGGGAGGCTCGGACCTACAGCATGTTCCAATACTGGAACTGCCAGCAGTAAGTTACCTGATTCGTTAGAAATCAGAGGTAAGTGTACTGCAAGCTAGCCAAAAACTCAACGCATCAGAGAGGCGGATTTGGAAGGGCCTAGTTCACCTGATGCTATTGGTTCCAGGTGCTCTGGGAAACAGAGAACTCAACTCTCACGTGAGAGGAGAACTCCGAACTCAGAAAGAATAGCGCGCTCATAGGCAACCCTTTGGTAAAGGGGAGCACTGCTAATACTACCACAAGAACAGCCCACGGAGTGAACTTACCACTACTGTGGGTTTCAGAAAGTGCACAGAGCTTAGC